TAAGAGCGACTAAAGGCTACGCAAGCGTTCTGTCGTTATCGGAAAATGTATGGCTTATAAGTTGTCGTTACTCATTAGTGAATGCGCGTATACATGAAACTGTTTTTTACAGTTTCAATATTAGTTTGTAAATCTCTGAATGGTAAAACTTGCCAATACTCCAATAATACGTTTCAAAAAAAGACAAAAAGCTTTAGTTTTGCAGAGTTAAATTCTCAAACGTGTAAGGCAATAATAAGATGAAAGTATCACGAAATTATTTGAATAAACCACATCGCATATATGGGGGGCGAATGTCCTAAAGAGGGGCGATATTCCTAGGGTATTCGCACCACCCCCTGGGAGGCGATATTCCTAGGATATTCGCCCCCGGGGGAATATTCCTAGGAATATCGCCACGTTTTGAGGGGGGGGGGCGAATTTCCTGGGGGGGCGACCTTTTTAAAAATTCTATCTTGCCCCCCCAAAATTTGAGTTTGCCCCTCAAATGCCCCCCCAAATTTGGAAGCCTGGCGCCGCCACTGCTTTTGTCGGATTATTTTACCGTAGGTTTGATAACAGAGAGGTATACTTCTACATATTTCTTGAGCATCAAGTTTCAGCGAAGTCAATGGCAAGTTGGAATTTGGAAATTTCACAGCGCTTATTTAATAACAGCCGGAGTAGCATTAGCTAGCATTGTTTACATGCAAGGTTTGTTCCGTTTGTAGTTTGCGATATTTCAGAAATCGTTTAGGATAGACTTCAGCAGTTTTAAATAACAGCAACTTTGGTTGGTCTAGAGATATATTTTCTTGTAATGTTTACGACGATGTCGGTAATATCAACAACAAAATTATCGATGCATCACTATTTTGCAGACCGGCCATCTTCGAATTCTTTGTATAGTATATACATGAAGACCATATATAAGTCGAATGTCATATTATTTCATTAATTAAATGGTTAGCTATACTCCGCAGTTCCATATATAGCTTTGAAAACATATGATGCCATTGCCGGTTATAAAAATTTGACTATAATATCGAGTGGATAGTGCTACTCAGCTTTCGTACATGTGGCCTTGAGCCATATTCTTATTGAAGAATTGCAGTAACTAATTTATCTGTCTATAAGATTATAACGTCCAAATATTTGAACTATATGGGGCGTGAAGTTGAACTGTTTCATCCACACTTGGTTATAATATTTATAAACCGATCTGCCGATATCCGAAAAACCCGGCCTTAACGCGCTCGAAGCTATGCATATTTGGGCATAGTTTGGGAAAGCCTGAGAAGAAAAAAAAATACGCATTCAAAGGGAGAAAGGTAAATATATGGAAATATTTTGCTTGGAATTCACGACTTTTTATTCGCGACCCACGATTTTTTACCCACGACCCACGCCTTTTTACCCACGACCCACGCCTTTTTACCCACGACTTACGACTTTTTACCCACGACCCACGACTTTTTACCCACGACCCACGACAATCTACCCACGACCCACGACATTCTACCCACGACCCACGACTGTTAGCTAGTCCCGATGGCAATAGCTGCTACAATACCTTGCTTTTTCTAACGTGGTAATATTTCTTAATCCCGTCCTCGTCGCCAAAATGTTGTGTATTTGCTTTCTATTAAATAGCTATATTATATTTCGTGTATAACTCAACAAGAAGCACTCATTCCGAACACATGGTGGATGCGCGCGCATCCTAATAACATAGGTAACCCATAACATATACAAGTTATAAAATACGATATGAACACCCAATTATATGAACCACTTACTGTTCTATTTACACAAGGTGTCTGTAAAAGGTAATCATACTTTCACGTGCATACATTGATAATCACTCAGCTTATAAACTAAACGTTTACGCTAAATATCAGGTTTATACCATTATACACAATGACGACATACAGTTTTTCCTCCATGTATTTCCTAATTAGAATGTTCGCTAAAATCTAGCCTGCGAAGCTAAAATCGGATGAAGAACATCTTATTCAACAGATAAATAGCAGTTTGTCACAATCTCATGTCAAGGTTGGATAACCTTTTTATTTTGGAGCATCCGTCACACCCTGTATTTTTCTTTCTAACTGTTTGAACTTCTAAATGTTAAATAAATTTTATTTTGTGTTTTCTGTTCTTTTGAGAGGCCCATTTCTTCACGGTTGCATTCAAGTCAATGGAGTCAACTAAATCTTTCTCACTGGCAAGAACTATAAGATCATCAAGTCGAGAGTCAGACATCGTGGATCTGAGGAAGTTCTTAACAATTTTCATTCTGCTGAATGTCCGTTCATCTTTGGCAACGGTTACAGGAGCAGTAAACGTCTTGTATACGTTCGGGAAAATGCTTTTGCTCAAATACGCTTGCTGGCATATATAGATCCTCGACGGCCTTACATGGGACAGTTAACTTCTTAACTCGTTCTTGAAATATTTCAAGCTCTGCGTGAAGACACTCTGCATTCACCGTTATCGACGGCAGGAAAAAACCTGATATTTCATTCATTTGCTGTACGTTTGGATTCTGCAACGGCGGACGAAGTGAATCAACCAAGGCAAAGGTTTAATCTTCTCAAGGGACTGTTTCAGGTTGTCGTTGTATACAGTAATAAGAGAATCTAGCACTTCTACATATAACTGCCTTGCGGTAAAATGTATGGAAGGAAATTGACGCGGCTGAATTTGGGTTTTCTTCAAGTCTTTGTGGCATCTTCCGTGGCCTGTGGTGGCGATTAAATTCTTCTTCTGGTTCTGTTCCATAGCGGTTGGAAAATTGAACGCTAGCTTCAATCTGGCGATCGATCTCTGACTCATTCTCTCTAATTTTTCTTAGGGAATGGATGGTATCACTTTATGTTTTCTATCGCGCAGTCAGTACGTCATTTAAGGCCCACACAGACCGGACGCGATTCGGCAACGCGACGCGAATTTTCAATTTTCAATTACATTTAACTTCAATATTTTTCTATGTTTTTCAAATATTCGGAACTTCTTCAGCAATTTTAGCTATTTGGCAGTGGTGCCTAAATTACTTCGAATTTGTACTTGAGTAAAAGTAGAAGTAATTAACAATAAAACGACTTGAGTAAAAATACTGGAGGCAAAACATTATATATACTTAAGTAAAAAGTACAAAGTATATCCATAAAAAATACTTGAAGTAAAAAGTAAAACTAGTACTATTGTCTGTAGCGTGTAGGGGACTTCTCCGATGGATTGACATACAAAAGACACAAAACAGCACACGCATTATATGCGTGCACCTAATATACAATATTTCACGGCATGGTCTACTTTGCAGACCCCGTTGAAGATATAAGAAATCCATTAAATAAATAATGCTTAAAAGTAAGCCACAAACGAGAGATCCCAGACGCATGTAGAGGTCCTATTACCTATCCCAAAATTAAAATAAATCAGGAATAAATCACATAAAATAAAAAAAAGTTAGGAAGTAACGAAATACTTCGCCACAAAATGAAAATAACGAAGTAAAACGTTACTTCTTGAAACGACTTCGTTCCAAGTAAAAGTACTGCAGAAAAAGTTTACTTTGTTACATGCTGACTTCTCAAAAATAGTACTCAAGTACAGTAACGAAGTACATTTACTTCGTTACTTGACACCACTGCTATTTGGTCTGCATATCTTGTAAAATACTTATCCGTTGACGATTTTATTTGTTTTTGAAAACTAAAGACTCGTGTCGCGTTGCCGAATCGCGTCCGGTCTGTGTGGGCCTTTAGGTTGTATTTTTCTCATATCTCCAGAAATTCGCCCGACGCGTTGAAACTTCCTACAATTTGCCCGACCAGACCAACTTTCTTGAGATTGGAGGGGTGTATCGCCCCTTACACTCGGAGTTTCGGCCCTGATCATAATATGGCTATATTAGTTACTTTCCAGTATATTTTGACAAGGAGACCCGTTGAAATTTGTTGCCGATTACAGCAAGAAACGCTAGTCACGGGGCTTCGGTGGCGCAGTTGCAGAGCAAGCGCCTTTCACCTCTGAGATGGTGGGTTTGATTCTCCCTACGAACTCATGCATGTATCAACGCTCTGCCAAAAGTCGTGGGTTTTCTCCGGGGCGCTCCGATCCGGTTTCCTCCCATATAGAGAAAGTTGACAGGGCGCATGGGAATTAGGATAGACATATAGTTAGGAAAGTAACATCACAATTGTTGTAAAGATAAATAGTCTAGGCTAAGTAAGTAACATAGGCCGACAAGCGTAATACAAAACTGCAGACTAACCCCATAACTCACAATTCGTTGTGATAAATTGTTTAATTTTCGTTGCGGTAGTCTGATTCTCTGACAAAAGATTTATGAAACATTCAATCATTAAATGTGTGCGACTGCACACCATGATAATTACATTTACGAATCAGCCTTTTTGTGCATTCACTGTACTAGAAATTTAAGAAGTTCAATCAACTCCGAAAATGTTATTTTGTCACCGTTTTTGGTCGAACAGAATAACTGCAATAACACTTTTGCATGCAGTTCAATCAACTCCTTGATGTTCAATGTAATGAGTGTTGTTATTGTCGAAGAAAGCCTCGCAAAATTAATGCGACTGTAATTCGAATATGATCATGCAAAATGTTTAAAAAACCTGATTCCTTAGTAACAAGACTACAAAACGACTATTAATTTTAAAATTGTTCCGCAGTTTTCCGTTTAAAAAAAGTATGATTGTGAGGACTGCAGTTCTGCGTAGGCCGGATCACGGATAGCAACACGCACTACAAGAATATGTTTCTAGTCCATTCCTCGATTGCCTATGGATCAAATTAGGTATAGCGATCCATGCAGTATTAGATGAATTTCCGAACGCCTGCTCAATATTTCCTGTACAATATACAGTCTGTTTCATCCGTATAGGATGAAATGTATGATTCCTATATACGGATGAAACAGATTGTTGTGGTTGTTTTGAGGTAAAACGAAAAACTATATATATGTATATATATATATATATATATATATATATATATATATATATATATATATATATATATATATATATATATATATATATATATATATATATATATATATA